GAGATCTACGTCGATCTCTCTACCCGCTTCCCTCTTTCAAAGGTCACTCTCTTGGTGAAAGATACCTCTCTCCGTCCCTCAGACGACAGTCCCTTCGTCAACGAGATCTTCGACCCCGACCGCGTCACCCCTACTTTCCAACTCGCAGCTAAAGAGAGGGCGGAGAAGAGGGAGAAAGATAAGGGTACCAACTACGGCGTCGTCCGTCTCGAACTCCTCGAACGCATATACTCCGAGTTATACGCGCAGGAGGTCGATGAGCCGGAAGAAGCGAAGTGGAGGTGTAGGGTTCTTAACTCGCGCACGGTTGTGGGGGTGCAGAGAATCGATGGGGCGGAGGGACAGGGACAGGGGGTGAAGCTGGAGGTGGCGAGGACGGGGGAGGAGAATGGGGAGAGAGAGGTTTTGGAGGCGGGGCTGGTGGTGTTTGCGACGGGGTATGTGAGGGATGCGCATGTGAGGATTTTGGAGGGGACGAGGGGGTTGTTGGAGGCTGAGCGTGGTTCTGAGCGTGCTGTGGAGGCTGAGGCGCCTGTTAAGGAGGCACCTGCTGTGGAGGCACCTGTTGCTGTTGAGGAGGCTGTTGAGGAGGTTGCACCAGTTGCAGAGGCTTCTGGGGCGCCTGTTACTGTGGAGACTGTTGCTGCTGAGACTTCTGTGGAGGCTACTCCCGAGTCGGTAGCTGTTGAGGCGGTAGCTGTTGAGGCGCCTGCTGTTGAGGCGGTACCTGCTCTTTCTGCTGAGGCTCCTTCTTCTGAGGCTCCTGCTGCTGAGGCTCCTGCTGCAGAGACTGAGTCTGTTGTATCTGATACCACAGAGACTACACCAGTGCCAGAAACGATCACGGAGACGACAGCAACAACAACATCCACGACGACCACCACCACCACCACCGAAAGCACCCCAGCAGCACCAGCAACATCCAGCACCACCGTCTCAGCGACTACCCCTTCAGTAGAACAAGTCAAGGCCACAACCAAACCCACCCGCGCACCAGCAGTCTTCCCAGTGGGTCGCGATTACAAAGTCCAATACGCGCCTGGAGCAGTGGAGGAGGGGGCGGGGATCTGGTTGCAGGGGTGTAATGAGAAGACGCATGGGGTAAGTCCTTCCTTTATTTATTTTTCAGAATTAGGGTGGAGACAGTGGTTTTGGGACGGTGATAGAAGCTAACGATGTGATAGTTGTCTGATACGCTGTTGTCTATTCTTGCGCATAGAGGGGGGGAGGTTGTGCAGAGTATTTTCGGCCCCAGCAGCGCGTCCAAATAAACGGTGTATTTCGTCGGTTTGACGACGTGCACAATCATTAATGGAAAGAGATACCCCCCCTTCCATATGTCGAGTCGGGGCGGGGTGGGGAGTAGGGATGAGAGAAATGAGGGATGAAAAACGGGGAAAGGGATGGAAAAAGAGGAGGGTATTTATATATACGTAAGCTTTGTGAAAGGGAGGGCAAGGAAGGGATGGAAGGGTGGTTGTTCATATAGGCGTCTTATTTATATACGGTCATATTAGTTCAGTCAGTCAGTTATAGTTTTTATTTTTTGTATGGAATCGCACTTCATTTTTTTTGTACTCCTAGTCTCTTACAAAAACCATCTCATGTGCTCTACATACAGTCAACCGTCCGTCTGCAATCCCGACGACGGCTTCTTTCTCTCGTCTAGGGTATATGTACACCTCTCCACAGCGCGGGGGGTACCGCCGGCATCGCTAGATCGCGCGATACCATAGCATTTCAAGTATTCAGGGCGTTTCTTGCGAGGTAGCATCAGCGGTGTTGTGCCAGATACCCTCCCTTCCGTTGACAGGAAGCAAATTCCCTCCCCCGCCATCCCTCCATCCCATCCTGCAGCGCGCAGCGGTGTACCCCTCGATCACTGCCGAAAGCACCCAGCTTTCCCGGTGCGCCGTATGCGATGTCGCTCGTTTGGTCCGGTCCGGTCTTCCCGTCACAGCCAGTAGTGAGTGCCTCGCATGAAACCCTGTATCGCGGAGCCAACAACAGCTAGTTTTCAATCCCATCATCTCCGATCCATCAAGTAAAATCCTTCCCTCCCCCATCACACTTCAGCCCACGCGCGCAGCCGACGCAACCAACATCCCCACAACCCCCTCCGCGCCCTCTCTTTCCCCTCTCCCCCCATCAGTAGGAGCACTTATCTTCACCCTCCCCTCTGAGGCCATCACGAACGCGCCGCACGCTATCTTAACAACTGACACTGAGGGGTTGGAGAGGTCGAGCGCGAGGTGCTTGGTTGTGTATGTATGCAGTGCGTTCCAGAAGGGGTGTTCGTCCGCCCTCGCTGCCGTGGTAGTGGAGGTGGAGGTGGTGGTGGTGGTGGAGGTTGTGCTGGTGGCGGAGTTCCGTCCGCGCTCTAGAAAGTTGGGAATATCGTCGCGCGAGATTGTTATATCGATAGCTTTTAACTCCCCCCCACCACCCTCTCCCGAACCTCCAGCACCTCCATTGCCTCCAATCGGGAACGCAGTCGAAATAACAACATCCCTCACCACCCCCTTCACATCCCCCCCTCCCCCCATCAGGGCGTCCATATACCCACCCAAAGCTTTCTTCAAAAACGCCGACGGCAGCTGCATAGCCGATGCGCGTGTATCGAAGCGTGTTGAGAGGAAGTCGAGGAGGGTTGTTCGTAGGGGGGGCGGGAGGCGGGTTAGGAGGAGGGGGAGGTGTGTGAACCCTCCCTCTGTTGTGGTGGCGGGGGAGGAGGTGGGGGAGGAAGTGATATCGCGGAGGAGAAGGGCGGTGTAATTTGCTTTCTCGTACGTGATTTCGATTATAACACCCCACCCCTCTTCCCCCCCCTCTTCGAGGCCAGTATCCTCCACCGCATACACCGCCGCCCACCCATCCGGCGATCTCAGCGGACGCATACTAACCCCCCTCAGCGCCCCCGCGCGAGAAAGAGAGATATCAGACGTATCCAACCCGATTCGGACGCCGCGGAGTGTGGAACCGGTTAGGATCTCGGAGAGGGCGGTGGCGTGGGAGGGGAGGGAGGAGGGGGGGAAGGAGTGAAGGGGGGAGAGGCGGTGGAGGGTGTATGTTGTGTTGTAGAGGGGGTAGACTGGCGCTGGTGGTGGGTTGGGGGGGGTGGAGAGGGAGGGTGAGGGCGGCATTGTGTGTGTTTTTTTTTTGTCGGAGAGGAGTGCCGGCCGTGGTGGGTGGTGAGGTTGTGTGTAGTGGGAGGTGTGAGGTGGTGGAATCGAATTGGGAGAGTGGTGGTGGTGGTGAAGAAGGAGGGGTGTTGTTATGCACTTCAGCCGCGTCCACAAGGCTGAGTATCGGTGGGTGTTCCATCACCCTGCCAACGCAGTGTGAGACAACAGCAGATAGGTAGACGGCGTGGCACACCGGCTGTGTGACTCCCGTGGTCGTGAACGGGTCATCAGGTCAAGGCACCAGATCCAGTGGCGCTTACAATCCCCTTCCTTTTTCTGGTGTTATATATTTGCCCATCTTGCTATCTCCATCTCCATCATTCATACAATCGTAAAAACCAAATCTATCCTTCCATCACAGCACAGCACAGCACAGCGCACCAGCTGTTGCCACCCACCACCGCAACAATGAAACCCTCACTCCCCCTCCTCCTCCTCCCCATCCTCCCCTCCGTCTCCGCCTGGGGCTCCCTAGGTCACATGACAGTAGCCTACCTCGCCGAGCACCTCGTCGCTCCCCGAACAGCGGTATACATGCAAGATATCCTATCCAACCCTTCGTCACCAGGCTACCTGGGTTCGATCGCCACATGGGCGGACTCGTATCGGTATACCAAGGATGGACGGTACTCGGCGCATCTGCATTATATCGATGCCGATGATAGTCCGCCGTGGAAATGTGGGTTGGATATAGAGAGGGATTGTGGGGATGAGTTTTGTATCGTTTCGGCGATTGGGAATTATGTGTGTACCCCCCCTCCCCCATCACCGTAGGAGGAGCAAACAGCTAACGCACCGCAGACTTCCCGACTTATGGACGCGGACCTTGATCCATATCAGCGCGCTATAGCCGCAAAGGTTCTTCCTTCCCCCTCCCCTTCCCTCCCCCCCTTTTCCACCACTAGGAGCGCAACCTAACACCCCCCAGTTCGTCGTCCACTTCATAGGCGACATCCACCAACCCCTCCACACCGAAGGCCTCCTCCGCGGCGGCAACGGCATCAAAGTCCGTTTCGGCGCCCGCAACTCCAACCTCCACTCCGTCTGGGACTCCGCCCTCGCCGAGCACCTAATCGGCGGGTACACACCCACCCACGCCCGCTCATGGGCCCGCACCCTCCTCTCCTCCATCGAGGGCGGTTTGTACTCCCCCCTCGTCGAAGAATGGAGGGAGGATATTAGTTTAGGAGATGTGGAAGGCTCGGTGATGCGGTGGGCGCAGGAGAGTAATAAGTTGGTTTGTGAGGTTGTGGTGCCGGAGGGGGGGTGGGAGACGTTGCAGGGGAGGGATTTGAGTGGGGAGTATTATGAGAGGGCGATTGGGAGGGTGGAGATGCAGGTTGCGAGGGCGGGGGTGAGGTTGGCGGAGTGGTTGGATTTGGTTGCTGCGGGGGAGGACGGGAGGGGGGAGTTGTAGGGGGGGAGGGAGGTATGATAGTGTAATGGATTTATTTGTTGGATAATTTGAAGCGTATGGAGGGAGTATGGGGGCGCAGATGTTGGGGAAGGAGCGGTTCGCGGGAGTAAGATCGCGCCTTCCGTTTCTTACGAGTATGGGATCTGGGAAGGAGCGACCTACGTATTGTCAAGTATGAAATTCGGGAAGGAGCGACTACACATGGTCGAGTATGCAATTCAGGAAGGAGCGTCCTACGTATTATCGCTCCTGCATTTATTAATCGTTCCAAGTCGCCCTTGCCATATCTCGAGTCGTGCTGTCATTTGGTTTAGAGTTTTGTTCGAGTTTTGTTGTGGTTAAAAGGGAAGTGATGATGGTACATCAGCTTAGATAATCTGCCGACTACTAACAAACTCCCCTTTGTAGCTCAGTTGGATTAGAGCATCGGACTGTAATGTAACGCAAATCATCCGGGGGCCCCCGGTTCGATTCCGGGCGAAGGGACTATAACTCTTCAGACGAGCACACTCGTCTACGGATCTTCTTTTTTGGAATTTTTTTGTTTTTTTTATTTGCTTTAGTAGCGAAGATGAGGGAGGTGTGTGGTGGGAGAGAGAGAGGTGGTGGTATTTAATTAAATAAGCGAACATATTGAAATATTGAGGCATTTCACGATAGCATACATAGTATAATAATTCTTTTTCATCTGAGTAACAGAATATATTTTATTATAAAAGCAATGAGATAAGAAAACAGTGTTTGTTTCTAAATAAATAAATACTGTGATATACTTCACCGAATTAATTTACCATCTCATGTGATATTTTGTTTTAATTCGAATATTTTTAATAAAACCTACATAAACCCCATAACAGACACTATCAGAATTCACAAATATTGAAAATAATACCAGGCAGCAAAGCAATTTTGTTATTTTTCATTCAATCACAAACTAGAACCAACGAGCCTAATATAAACAAGTCCCCTTTTCCTAACCTTCAACCACCCATCCACCCATCTACTCCCCTACGAAACGAAAGCGTAACAGAAATCGGCCCCCTCAGCGGTTTCTATGGCTCCCTACAACTAACCGTCTCCACCGCCGTCGCACACCCCCTCTGACACGTCGGACACCTCGCCACCGTCACCGTTGGCGTCGCCTGACAACACGCATCCTTACACGGCACCGTCTCTATCTCCAAAACAATGCAATCTGGGTGCGGCCCGCACGTCGCCGAGTTGAAGAGAGGGCAGTGCGCGATGCTGGCTGCTTCGGTGGCGGTGTAGCAGCTATGCGGGGCTTGGGAGAGAGAGGTGATTGTGCTGGTGATGGTGGCGTGGCGGTGGGTGTAGGTTGTGGTGTGGAGGATGGTTATGGTGGTGGGGGTGCAGGTTGGGGGGGGGTCGAGGATGACGGTGCGGGAGATGGTGAGGAGGGATTGGGAGAGGGTGGTGCTGCGGGTGAGTTAGTGCTGTGGTTTTGTGGAGTGAAGAGTTGGGGAAGGGAGTTGGAGGAGATATATACCTGATTAGGCCAGCTCCCAGGAGGAGGAGAGAAAGCTTGGTCATATCGATGGTGGTTATGATATGATACACAGATAGTAAGTAGGTGAGTAGCTGTTTAGGAACTGGATCGACAAAGACCTTCAAGCATGGGAGAGACGAAATATTTAAAGAAGGGAAGCGGGGATGGACAATCTGGAAGAAATGGTACTACCTTCCCATCCTTCCCCTGAAACCCCCCCCAAGAGATATGCGGGGTGACTATCTTACTGCGTGGCCACATATTGAAGGCTAAAAATGAGATGAACCTACAGTAACTTGATTCAGTCTGCATCTAGTAAGCAGTGTAGCGTCCAAATGAATCCTTATATCAGGATGTAAGCTCCCGTCGTCAGCTCGTATTTGGCCCTTGTGCTGCCTCGCCAATGTGCACCCGCTCCAAACCATTTAATTTGGGATGCATCCTTCTCAGCCCCGTCGGGAGCCACGAGCAAGCGATAGATGGCACCTCGCATTACCCAGTGACACAAATGAATATATATTGAATAATATATGGGAGTGGTTCGAGAGGGACGCACCCGCGAACGGATAATTCAAAATATTGGCTACGACTGTGAATTGTCCCATTGCTGACTTACCTTTACTATCTGGAGGTGCAGTGAGCATTTATCCCTCCTAATATATGAAGGGATGTGTGGTTGGACGTTGGCGGTGTGCCTGGAACATCAGGGATATATAAACTCCGCCAAGCAAAACGATCGTTGCTTAACCGTTCGTACCGTCGGAGCGGGGTGGCCAGAGCACTCTTGAATGGCCCTGGTCTAGCAATATATCTGGGGTAAAAGGATTTACCATGTGGAGTGAATGCACCAGGGTCGTCCCTTAATTCTATAAGATTTGGAGCGTATATGAGGTGCTACGATATAGCTCATAGTGACCACTGATAGACTCGCTGAAATCGAAACTAAACTCTGCAAAGATGAGACGATGCGTGGTAACTGGCCAAAGTTGTGTGAGAAGTTCGTCGATGAGGAATTCTTTATATCATAGAGCGGAACGCGATGACGGAAACTGCCTATCTGTCAATATACTAGATGCGAAGATACCACAGATGTCAGGGTCAATATTACGTCCTTTGTCGATCTTCACTATGACATCGGAAGATCCGGCCTCTCTATGGTACATGCTAGGACTCACTTCACTGATGCTGTCGCTTGATGCTGGTGTCGCTTGATGCTGTTGTCGCTTGATGCTGTCGTCGCTCGGTGCTGCTGTCACAATGTTGCTGTCGCCCGATGCTGCTGTCGCTCTCTGGAGCCACGTTCTTCTTCTCTTTACTCACTCTCATGCCCCATTCTCTTTCAATAGCCTCCGCAACCCACCCCGGCGTCCTCCAGCTTTCTCCTAGCCACCTCGATGCATCGTAGTGTGATTTGGATTGAAATTAATGATCTGCATGTGAAGCTCTCTGCAAAGCCTACTTATGCTTAACCTTGTGGCTCTGAAGGCCTATAACCCGCGCTCCACCAATGGCGAGATTTTATTCACAGTAGAGGCTGGCAGTAAGGGACGAAAGAAGACATTGCCTCAGCAGGGAACTCGCACATCACGGAGCAGAAAGTGGAGAGCACGACGATGATCAGGTATATATATCAGAATATCTATTGTTGCCAGCTAAATCTTCAAACCAAATCATCTCTCACTGGTTCGTAGACCACCACACTCATCCAAAAACGCCCATCCAACCTATCAAACCACACAAAAAACTCTCAATCAAAATGGTATCCCTATCCAAACATTGCACCCCTCCTAAATCCCGAATTAAAATCCACCCTCTATATCTCCTCCACTCCCCCCGCCCCCTTCCCCGCCACCCCCTGTCTCGACTGACTCAAATACTCCCTCGGCACCTTCGGCACCATCGGACTCTTCGGGACCGTTATCCCCCTCGCCTCCATCCTAACCTGCTCCCTCAACCTCTCGCTCTCCCGCGTCCTCCCACCCGTCAACCGGCGCATCCCGCTCCGTGTCTGTTGCGCAAGCGGTCTAATCATACTCTCCAAGAAGAACCCTCCCTCTCCCGGTGTCGCGCGCCCTTCTTCCCCGTCGGAGAACACTTCAGCTGCGTACTCGTCGTCGGACATGAAGTCGGGCTGGTGCGAGGACGGCGCGGAGGGTGAGGTCACGGAGCGCGAGTGCATGCTCCGTCGATTAGCGGATGCGGGCTGCTTGCTAAATGCACCCGGGTTCATAGAGTTGAAGCTCGGCTGGCGACTCATCAGCCCCGGTCGCATATCCGCGAACCCGTTCTGGAAAGACGTCGTGCTCGATGTGCGACCAAGGGACTGGGTTAAGATCGGCAAAGTCTGTTCATCGTACAGCTCAGCGCCTGACTCGAACTCCCCGCCGAACTCGGTGACGGTGCGGGAGGAACGGCCGTCGCTAGAGGGACTCTGGAGCGTGTCTTCGAAGAAGTCATCCAGGCTGTCGAGTTTGTTGACGAGGTCGCCGATATTGCCGTCCGTCCGGACTTCGTCGGACATCATGGTGTCGGCGCGGTCCTGGGGGGGGAAGTAGCCGTATTGGAATTCGTCGACGTGGAATTCGACGTCGCCGTTTGGTGCGGCTTCGAGGTCGGTGCTTTCGGCGTTCTGGCACATGTAGAAGGCTGCGTGGACGTTGGATCGCGTTGTCTCTGCGTGCTTGGCTGGCATGGGGATGGACCAGCCGGAGTCTTCGGGGATGCCGAATAGACTCTGAGTTCTCTCGTATTCCTTGCGGATTGCTTTTGAAGATCTGCCACCTGCCATACTCATTCTGAGATGGTGGTCATCCATGGGCGTACCTGTCATTGTCATGATGCAATCGAGGACTTCCAGTGCTTGCGTGCAGAACTCGGTCTGCAACAGTCGCAGCAATGGCGATATCATATCTGGACCATGCGAGGCGATCTCTGGCAGGCGCATATCAATCTCCGGTATGAATACGCAAAGAATGCGCATCGTATTAACCTTGAACCAAGGCAAGCTATTCGTCAGGAAGCCCATAAGAAACTTGAGCGCCTGGAAGCTCCACCTCGGAAAGAAATTATCCCGAAGGGCAGCTATAAGCTGAGAGAGAAAATCCTTGCTTGTTCGATACCTAGACGCAGCGAAGCTGCCCAGAGCCACAGAAATCGTGCCACATGCTTGAGAATCCGCCACCTCTGCCAAAATCCTCGCGTTTGCCGCAATAGCGGGATCAATGACACCCTGGTCCATTGAATGCAGGAAGCTCGGGAAATTTGCTAGGATCGCAAAGAGGAGTCTATTGTCGTTCCCAACTAGGTCTCCGCTGGGAATCTGCACGAGCTTGTTGAGAGTCACCAAAGTCTGATCCAGACATGAGGCCGAGCGAAGGCCCTTGTAGACAAGCGGTTGGAGGCCCTCAAAATTGCCGTCCCATTTTGGTGGTTGGCCTTCAGACAACATCATCACTACCATGGCGTCTGACAAATCCAGCTTCAAAAGTAGCTCATCCAACATCCCCAACGACTCCATAAATTCCAGCTCATTAATAGTATCCAAGCACGCACACGCCGTCCAAAAGAGCTGAGGGAATGTAATCAAATCCTTAGGCTCCAACTTGCTAATCAACGTCTTCAGCGTCGTCAAAATCTCCATCGAGAATGTCTGAATCTCGGCATCCTCATCAGCAATCGTGTTTGACAACCGTGCAAGCATATCAGCCAGCATAGTCTGGTCCAGCGACGTCAGGATGCATCTGAAGATCTGGAAAGAACGGCATGCTAGATGGCGGACTGGGCAGGAGGTCGCCCAGGTCAATGATAGCTTGCCCCATTGCTCCTTGATGCCGGGGTATGTCACTTCAAACGTATTGACGACTTGTGTCGCGAGATTTTCCATGGCAGTAGGCACCTTGTTGTCTCGGTCATCAACCTTCCCATTCGAATCTCCATATGCCCAAACGATCTTCGAATCGTGGCGCCTAATCGCTTCAAT